CCCAGGAGTATGCTTTTGAGGGACGTTCGCGTACTTCGTAGAGGGAACGCTGGACTACGAATTTGGGCATGATCCTGGAGACAAGTGTTAGTTTGATTTGAAAAGTTTATGGAGCAGGTTGCATACTGTTGCACGAGCGTTGAGAAGATTGAGGTTAGCATAAAAGCGCTGAACAAGACATCCTGGAGTCCCTGTAAAGAAAGGTCTGGCTTGAAGAAGGTGAATCCGATGAATAGCCCGGACATCGTTGCCAGCATGATCTTTGCCCAAACGTAGGATGGTTCACGCCAGAAACCCTGGAATGATCGGTAGGTGACTTGCCATAGCTGTGAGGTAAATGGCATTGCGTATTCACCTATCTGGGATTCACCTTCTTCGCTGGAGTTTGCTGCGGCTCGCTCATCGTGGATGCGGTCGATCTCGGCTTGGACGTCTTTGGCTTCTTGGCTTTGATTCCATACCTGAACCCAGTCTTGGGTTGACTTTCCAGATGCGCCGGCGCCGATGATTTCAAGCATATATTCCGCAGGCTGGTTATTTATTAGTGAGTGTGACTCGAAGATCGAGGAAGTTCGGTCTTACGTTTTCCTGTGAAGTACAAGTCCTGGCTCCATTGCCCTCGAAGTAGTCCAGGAGAGTCCGGGATTGGTCTCCGATTTCACCGAAGTAGACAGTTCTTCCTCCCTTGGCGAGGAACAGAAGACGATCAAATTGTTGGAAAAGCAGTGCACTGGGCTGGTGAATCGTCGATAAAACCGCCTGGCCATGTTCAGCGAGCTTTCGCAAGAAAGCGCAGATAGCCCATGAGCTTTGCGAGTCCAGTCCACTAGTAGGCTCATCGAGGAAAATAAGAAGAGCAGGCTTTGCAGCCAACTCGACTCCAATTGTCAACAACTTCCTCTGCTCAACGTTCAATCCTTCTCCAGGTGTGCCGACGATGGCATCTGAGAAATCCTGCATACCAAGCATGTCGATGACCTCTTCGACGAAATCGTATTTTTCTTTCTTGGAAACAGTCTTAGGCTGGCGCAACAAAGCACTGAACCGAAGTGCCTCCCTGACAGTATCCGTCGGAAGGTGCAAGTCTTGTTGCTGAACATAGCCGGTTTTCCTCTGGAAACTGGTATCGAGGGCTTTTCCGTTAACCAGCATATCCCCGGTAACAACACCAATAGAGACCCGTTTAGCCAGAACATCAAGCAGGGTCGTTTTCCCGGCACCCGATACACCCATCAGAGCTGTTAATGTGCCGGGCTTGACCCAGCCAGAGACATTATCCAGTAGACGCCGTTCGCCCCCTTTGACTGGGATGTCATAGCAGACATTTCTCCAGGTGAAGATATCATGCTGAGCTGGAATGGCAGAAGTGCCTTTGTCGGCTTCTGAATGCTTTTCCTGCTTGATCTCCGCTGAGCCGGTGCTTCCTTCGCCATTCTTAAGGTGTCGCAGATGAGCGGGAACATGGCCTCGACGGAAAACCAAGAACTCAGCTTTCGAAGAGGTAGACGAATTAAGCTCCGAGGCAAGCAGATACAGGGATATAAAGAAGATCCAAAACCCAATCAAGATCCCCAAATTGCGCCATTCATGCGCATAGGTATACCTATACTGAGATTCAATGTAGGCATCACCGGACACGGTCCGTTCTCCCGCCACAGCACCTCGCACGGCACATATAAATGAATCACCAGTGAGACTGGGGTAAGCAGGGATAAACCGTGAACATGTAAAGCGACGGCCATGGAACTCGTTTGCAATCAATGCTTCGAAGGTGTAATAGACTGGATTGATCCATCGAATCCAGCTAAACCAAACAACCATTTCAGGCACGGTGATCACAAAGCCAGTGTAGATGACGATTGCTAGGACTATCACTCCAGCGAAGGACATGGCCTGTGCAAGGGTTTTTGTGGATGCTGCCAATGTTCGGAATACACCTGACATTGCGAGAGTGCTCAGGAAAGTGAAGAGAAAGAATATGAAGAATTGCGAGGGCTCATATCGCTGTATATTTGGTCAATTCGGTTCAAATTGGAAGATTGGGGATTGTCTTCCACTTACTAGACCGGCCAAAAAGTAGAAAATGATGTTGAACACCACGGCTGATACAAATTTGACAGGTATATCGGCGACGATTCCTCCTAGTGATTCTGTAAATGGATGGACAAAGGCGTAGGATGCTTGCTTCTCGACAATTGGTCGCTGATCGTAGAGAGAGTTGATCTCCGTGATACTGATGAGGGCATTCATTCTGCATAAAATCGTTAGTCTGGATACTGGATATTTCCACCTGATAGACCTAAGGATCCCAAGGAGTACTCACAGAACGGAGAAGAAAAGTGCTGCGCCTTTACTTTGAAATCCTGCCGATGCGTTGGGGGTTCTGTGCGAATAAGCAACATGCCAGAAATCCCACCATGCATAGACTTACCCAAAATAAATCGATCCAATAATCAAGGACATAGCTATACGTCCGATGACAGTTGTCATCGTGGAAGGCTTGTCATTCCAAATTCTAGAGATAGTGTCAATTGTGATCACATCGAAGTCAAACGCCTGAGACAAACCGTTGGTAAGCTCTCTTCGTACAAAGCTTGACCTGCATCGAAATCGAAATGACATATGGACTCTTGGGCCGAACATGCTTTGCCTGCCGCAGTCTCTTCGTTTCATTGAAGCTCCTTTCAGCCTCTCCTCCAAGCGGATACTCCTCTCGGTATTGAGAAATATGTTTCTGAAGTGCAGCATAATGAGAACTGCTTTTCCAGTACTTCTCAAATTCGTCAGGAGTGCGAGGAACTTTGCTCTCCATCCCTTCACGAGCGGTGCGCTCCTGTGGGTTTGTGACAGAGGTCAGGAAATCACCGGTGGTTTGGCGCGCAGGACACTCCCAGCCCATATCCAAGAAATAGTCTTTGGCTTGATTACAAGGGCCGAAAAAGATTTCTCGGCCCTCATACAAGACAATGACCTTGTCGAAGATATCATAGATTGCCTGCGAGGCTTGGTAGATTGCAACTGCGTGGCAGCTGCCAATCAGGTTTGCGGATACTCTGAGTGATTTGGCAAACTCCAAGGCACTGGCGGAGTCCAAGCCTCGGGTACTGTTATCCCATGCTGCAACTGGGGCTCCAGAAACTAAATGAACATTAGCTTAGGATGAGCAATGGATAGTAGCTACAACTTACGGGCCATCTCAGCAATACTAAATGTGAAGGTCAGCATCTGGGTTCTGTATAGATAATTTGAGGGTTACATACCTGACTCGCTTTCGCTCACCTCCAGATACTCCGCGAATGTAGTCATCTCCAACTGTAGAGACATTTAGCTTAATCATTTCGGATCCAAATCTCAACATACCCTTGGTGTTGTATGTATGACTCAACCCCAACACAGCCATGGCCACCTGAGTGATATGCTTCGCGTAACATGTCCGACTGATCCCATTCAGCCGATGTTCAGGAGTTCTAGCAGCAGCAGCAAACTCAAGCGTCTGGCCGACAGTGAGATGAGGAAAGTGTTTATCAACCTCCTGGTTGTAGAGGACTTCTCCTTTGAATTCCTTGTGCATCTTCTCCATAGGAATGCCATTGTATTGGATATCCGACTCCTTGTCCAGCTTCAACCCGTGTAGCTCACCAGAAATTGTTTTAAGGAAAGTTGAGCAACCACTCCCAGGACGCCCAAGCACAATCAACAGCTCGCTGCTCTCCAGAACACCATCAAAATTGCGCAGAATCTTTTTCTGCGGCGCACGGCGCCCGCAAGAAAGGTATTCCTGAGGCCGGAACGGCGCCAACGGGACCGATCCAACATTTTTCTGGTACTGCAATGCAGCTCCTGAGCCAGAGATGTTGAGGTTCTCCCAAACCACACCGGTTGATTTGCGGACGGGAACACCTTCTTTGTCCATCAGCTTCAGCATCATACGAGCCCACTTGTAATGGTCAAACTGGTCGCTTGTAGGATCGAGGACTGGGTCTCCTAGCTGGACATCTTCGAGAGTGTCTTTGCGTTCGACATTTGTCATTCCAGATATGCCAGAGTCGCTGGCACGGTGCCGAGGGAAGTTTGATGCGATGCGAGAAAGTTCTGCGCGGTCCTCAGGGCGGATATAGTCAAACACCACCCCATGGCGCCTTGATTCGGCAGAAGTAACTTCTGGAGAGGAATCAGAGCTTGACTGTGGTTCGTGGCCGTCGTGCTGGGAAGAGGTAGGCTCGATGGCCTCGTGGTCTTCCTCTTGCTGCGCCATGATAGATGAATTTGATTAATGAAACCCCTACCAGTATGTCCTCGGAAGCAATAAAAACGTAGGGTTAACATAAATTATTGACCTCCAAAGCATAAAATCCAGAGGAAATGAACCATAGATGTAATCCTAAAGTCCTGGACATCTCGGCGGATTAATTAGCTTATAGAAAATTTCTGTGTAGCATCCAGGCCCCTGTCCCAAAATAGGAAGTGTTTACCCAGGGATTCTGTGATCTTATTTGGCAAAATTAGTAGTCGTGATGTCAACACCACGGCTGTGGTTCTGTGGTTCTAACGATGGAACCCGGGGAAGCCGGATGCAGCAATGGCAAGTCAAGATGTTACATGTATTAGTATCTGACGGATTTCGAATATAAAACATTTATATTGGCTCCTATGAAGGGTCTATCCAAGCATGGGAAATGAGTAGTAAGAAGTGAAGTATAAGCGTAGTCTGATGTCTTCATAGTAGAGCAATGTCGTCCGGCGGCCTCAGGCCACAACAGTCAGCCAATCACCGCCCGCAATGTAGCTCCTCCAACAAACAGTGCAAACACCTATCGCGAAGGAAAAAAAATAATTTATCGCAGTCTCCGCTCTCCAAGACAGTTCGATCTCGAGTTTGGAATTGATTCCCTTGAACAGATATCTCTAAAGGTATTCTCCTTATACCTTTCTAGAGATCAGCCACTGCCCTCCCTCCAACATCAAAACTGCCTCAATCGCCGATTCTATAGAAATTTACTATGGACGGCCAAAAAACTCCCTTTGTGAGGGAGCTTGGCTCCAGTGGTATGTGGTCATTCTATGCAAATGAGAAGCGCGAAACTAATCAAGTTTCTTCTCTTCAGACCGAAAGGTCCGCGACAAGGCCCTCGAGTCTCTCACTCAGTTCCTGCGCTCACGCACCGATCTGACCCTCATCGACCTCCTCAAGCTGTGGAAGGGACTGTTCTTCTGTAAGGAAATCCAAGAGACCTGTTAAACAAACACCACAGAAATCTAATAGTTACCAGGCTTCTACCACTCCGACCGACCCCTCACACAACAAGCCCTCGCCCGCGCACTCTCCTACTCCCTCGTCCCAACCCTCCCCAAAGAAACCCTGCACCGCTTCTTGCGCGCCTTCTGGATCACCATCGGCCGAGATTTCCACTCACTAGACCGTCTCCGGTTGGACAAGTACCTCTTCCTGATCCGTTGCTACGTAGGCGTTGCATTCGAGCTCCTAGTGAAGAACACATCAACAAAGCCCGACGGGAAAAAGCGCAAGCGCGAAGATGCCGCCAAGCAAGGCCGCGGCAAGAAGCAGAAGAAGCAGACACAGGCCGAGGCCGAGCCCGCCACCGAAGACGACAAGACCAACGGCGAAGACGACGAGACCAGATTCCCCGATCTGGCGGCTTATATCTCCATTATCGAGGAAGGTCCTCTTTGCCCTCTGAACTATGATCCTGATCAGCCGAAGGACGAGGGCGATCCTAATTTCGTGCCTATGCCCCATGGGCCTGATGGGCTGCGTTACCATCTTATCGATATCTGGGTTGATGAGTTGGAGAAGGTTCTTGAGTTTGAGGAAGAGGGTGATGAAGAGACTCCTAAGCGGAAGATTAAGGGTGAAATTCCTATGGAGCTTATCTTGCGGCCGCTGGAGAAGCTCCGCACTGAGAGTCCTTACAAGCCTGTTCGTACGAGGGCCGCTGAGGCTTTGGATGATGACCGCCTGGTTGAGTGGGGTGTTCGGACGAGAGAGTCTGAGGAGGATGATAGTGAGGAGGAGGAGTGGGGTGGTTTTGGTGATGAGTAGATGCCTTGTCGTATGTATGGGATTGTGTAAAAACAAAATGAATTCATTGCACAGCGTGGTAGCGATTATACCATACCAATCACGATGTTGGAGTCGAAGTTGGTGTAATAGTAGATCTTCGGGTCTACGGAGTACAAGACCTCGAAAATGCATTGACATGTCTGTTTTATTCTGTTATAATATACAGTCTGACCACAGAGCACCAATTGTCTAATACAAGTTAACATATCAACAAAACACCAAGTCTTTTGCGCTAGGGTATCACTGAGTGGATGCAAAGACATGGGAAAGCATCGAGCGTATATATAACAGCCGATAGAAACAATACGGCATTCAGCAGCTCCTTCGACGCTCAGTATGCAAACTTAACAAAAGGAATTATCGAGGTCCTTCTGCTTCGTAGATGCGGTCCGACTTGGTGAGAATCGTACCGAGCCCTTGGTGAACCTCAGCCTGGAACGCTTCGAAGGGCACACGTTCACCGTCAATGCTGATATATCCTTCCTTCTGGTGAGGCACTAGACGGTACGCAGATGCTTTGCGGATATTGAGCTCTGGCATGTCGAAGAAGCGTCCACTGGGGATCTCGTTCATCATTGTGATCGCGGTGCCACGACTAACTCTGCCGTCAATGGTCACCACGTCCATGAGTCCGTCGTCGGGTAGGGTAGCTGGGAACATGTTTGTGTCCTTCGACATAATTGCCATGTTTCCTGCATAGAAATTGCCCATCGTTTCACCCGGAACAACTTGCCAGTCGCTAGGTACGTCGTCTGTGACTGAACCGTATTTGAGCTCTGGTAGTTCTGGTGACTGTGCTGCAGCCTCAAGACGTTTGATGTCGACATCAGACTCCTCAGGGCGTGTGGACCAGGTAGCATAGTGCTCCTTGATCGCCTCCTTGTCTCCAATCTCCACCTTGACGGCTAGATCGCACGGCCATATCGTCTGCCGCATCAAGCGAACCAAGAAGCCGTATGTGAAACGCTGAGCACCCATCCACCGGATATTCTCAGTAGCCAAATCCGACTCAGCAACGATACCAAAAGACTGCGAGAGGAAAGAGAGCGTGCGCGAATTCTTCTGCGAGATGGAAACCAAATCGAGCGGCGTCCTCAATCCCTTGACAATAGCCAGCGCCGCAATGGAGACACTACCAGTCCCAAAAGCATTCCACGTCATTCCGTTGCCAGAACCACAAGGAAGCAAAGCAATAGCAGTCTTCACCAGCGCCGTCCGAGCATCGGGCCGCTTACCCAAGCCATTGAAAACCTCATACGGCAACCCATCACCAGAGCAACAAACAATGGCATCATACGCATCGACATCAAGCTTCTCCGCAATATCAATAGCATGACCACGGTGCTCAGTACTCTGCACATCAACCTGACACTTGGCAGCCGCAAAGACCGGGGCCGCATACCTCTGGTACAAACTCGCCGCAGTGCCCTTGCCACCAAAGGGATTAACCAGGACCTTCAGTCTCTTCCCGCGAATTGCCTTGCCATAAGCGGAATCGATCAATTTCCCAACCCACGCCTCAACGAGCTTCTTCTCTTTTTCGACGACGGGGTATTGAACCGTCGCGACGGCTACATCGTCCTTGCCGGCCGGCTGCGCGTAGGCGATAACGAGGTTCGAGGCTGTGACTTCAGCGCCGAGAACGTTGTATAGTGAGATGGCGTGCGTGGTTTGGGGCGCTGTATCGGGACCGAGGTTAGAACTAGTTACAGGGAGGTTCGCGCCGATCAGAGGGCGTGAGAGGGGCTGTGGGTTGGCCTGTGCAGCTGTTTCTTACCTGACTTGAATAATCCGCAGCAGTGACGGTTTGGACGAGCTGAGCGGTCGTCTGGAGAGTGTGTCAGTCATGGGCAAAGAGCTGGTTATGGGGTGGCGCAATGTACCGACTATGAGGAGGGAATCAGTGCCCAGTGTTAGTGACACCGAGTCGACTGTCACTGTTGAGTCGTGTGCATCTTGTGCAGTGTCTGCGGTTGACATTTTTGATGATAGAGGGATTTAAATCATTATAGGGAGTTGAGGGGGAGTAACAATATGTTGCAAGTAACAAAGATATGCAGCTAGCATCGGGAGCCGCGGAGGTCCGGTGGGCCCGTCCCTGCAGCTGAGGCCCAATTGGAAATTCCCCTATTGCGAGGGATGCTTTATAGAAGACAGGTTTATTTCATTGAGATGTATATAATTTACGGTCTATAACTGTTGAAATAAGTCCCAGTCCTCAAGGGACCCATGTACAGAGATGTATGATTACTATCAACTGTTAGCCAACTTACTAGTGCTTATATATCTACCTAAGTAGCCCTGCAGGATACACATTTATGAAGATCAAAACCATTGTTCTCTATCCACTACTCCCGATGAGACCTCCATCTCATCTACAATAAAGAGACTATAAGTGAACAATTTGTCTCGAGAAATGAACATGGGGAACAGAAGACAAGGCAAAATGAAGAAAAGAGGAACGAAAATCATAGACCGCAAACCGCTGGAAAAACATCGACTTATGCAGTCGCCGCCTTGAGGCCCTTCAGAGAGCCCAAGCTCAGTGCTAGGCCCTGTGAGCGACTTCTTATCCGAACAAAGCCAGTAATTGGCCCATCGTCTCCCTCTTTCTCGATACTCAGGTTGGCCAGTGCATCCTCGCCTAGGTCATGGTTAGTTGCTGTGTAGATATCTCAGGGGAATAGAAACATACCGAATACACTGCGGGCATACAAGTTAGCACTCAAGAATCGGCAGTCGCCCTTGAGGGAAGCATCAGGTGTCAGGCAAGCCATGTTAGTGCTCTCCATCAACTGCTTGAGGAATTCGCGGAGAGTCTTGGCCTTGGAGTTGATGTTGACCTTGTTCTCCCACTCGAACTCGGTCCACATGGTCCGGAACTGGGTCTCGGTGCAGTGGGCAGGCTGGATGTAGTCCATGATGTCGGCATGGATGTCGTTGAGGATTACCACGTGGGTCTCAGTGGAGCTGGCGCCGTCGTAGACGATGTTACCGAAGATGACACCGGTGTCCGTTGAGGAAACCTTCACTGTAGCCTGGACGTTGAGGAAGTCACGGGGGCCGAGGTTGTTGGTGGATGGCCGCTCAACAACCTTGAGGTCACCTAGGGTTGCGAACTCCACGGAGAGGTTCTGCAGGGTCTCAGTGGTCTGGTTGACCAACAGCACATCGAGGACAATGTCAAATTGGTGTACGGTGACATAGGCTTCGGCATAGACTGAGTCGGAGAAACCGGTCAGCTGCACCACCCGGCTGAGCTTCGAAGCGACGTTCTCTACGGTCGAGTCACCACCGGTGGCCTTAACAAGATCAAGCTCGATCTCTTCAGCACCCTCGACGGTGTTCTTCTTGGTGAACTGACGGATCGGGATGGCGTCGTCAATCTGCACAGCGGTCTTAGCCTTCTCCACGGCCTCCTTGGCAGCCCGCTTCTTATCCTCAACCTGGACCATGGCGCGGAACGCCTTCCGGGTGTCCTGCAGGAAAGAAACCTCTAGCTCCTTCTTCTCGGAGAACTCAGCCAGAGAGCGCACACAGGTCATGATACGGTCGACGGAATCTTCATCAATGGGAGCCTTGACGAAGTGAGATTGGCCAACACGAAGGATCGAAATCATGATCAGCATGGCCTCGGCACGGAGAGCATTGGTACGGGCAGTGTCTTGAGAGACCTCGGAATGGCGCATAACCAACTTGGTCAAAGTCGAAGAGAGAACAGTCGCCAGGTAGTAGTCGCCATCCAAAATAAGTTGACGCAGAGGGGGCTTCTGTGCGGCCTTGACGGCTTCTAGGCGAGCAGCAGCTGCCGACTGGCTGGTGAGAGCACTCTCGGTTGCATATGTTCCATCTGCGAGCACCTTTCGAGATCCGGTAGGCGCGGCCTTGGCGCCGTTGGCCTGTTCCAGAAGTAGGGCATTATCATCAGGAACCTCGTCCAGGAGACGCTGTTCGGATGCCAGGATAGGGATTTCACCGAGGCTGGTTCTGATCCGCTTCCAAGCCTCGCGAATATCCTTCTCCTCCAGAGAGTATTCACCAACAACCCACAGAACTCCGCGGTAAACCTTTCCAGCCCGAACCTCGCTCAACGTCGAGACCAAGCGGTCCACGATCGACCCGCGTAGGTCGGGGAACTTCTCGACAACCTCCTTCACAAATGAAATCACATCGACGGCGGAGTTGTTGTTGAAGTCGGCAATGAAATCCATCAGTAGATCGACCACGCTTGCAGCAATTTCGGAGAACTTGATGGCGCAAGAGTGTATTGACTGCACCAGGAGTTGACGGTACTCGCTATTCTATAGGAAGAGTTAGCACTACTGGGATGTGCAAATTGGTTGCACAACCTACCTGTTCATATTGTTCGTCGACGGTCTTGGCTAGTTCCTTCTTGAGGAGCATGATGATTTCTTCAACGTTCTTGCTGGAGACCATCTCCATGGCAAGGCTGAGAGCCTTTCTCCGGACATCGATGTCAGGGCTGGTGAGAACACGCAGGGCCTCCATGGTCAAGTCATCCAGGACACCCTCATTGCGAATTCTCAGTTGGTCCACGCGGTCCAAACAGATAAGCTTCACGTTGTTGTCCGCTTCCCGGATGGCGAGCTCAATCAGCTTACTCGCGGCAGCTTTAACGGCGACGGGATTGCTGGTGAGGGCGGTAAGAGACGTGGCGGCTTCGTAAACAACAGTACTTGTAGAGGCATCGAGGAGCTCGAGCATGAGTTTCAAGTATCGTGACTATTCTCCGTTAGTAATGCCTGAGATAACAGCTTCGATTTCTCCAACCCACCTTGTTCTGAGTGTTCTGTACTGCGTCTTTCCGGAGGAACTCCAACTCTGCTAGCTGGAGCAGCTCATCTGTGTTGGGAATAGTGTCGAATGTGGTGCGCAGATACTCGAGTGCCTTTTGGTGGCTGATGGACATGAGCGCCGCGAAGGCATTGCGCTTGCAGGTGCTGTCGGTCTCGCCCTCG